CTGTGCCAAGAAGCTCTGAATGTGCAGGGTCAAGGAGAGGAGGCAGTAATAGGAGAAAAAAGGCCACACAGGTATAGCATGCAGGAGCAACTACTGGGCAGAGGTCCGACTCAGCCTGGTGGGGACAAGAACTCTAGCCCTTCTGGCCTTATGGTGAGTGACCAGCTCATTTCGCCCTGCCCATCTGTAAAACGAGGCCAAGGAAGATGAAGACCTCTCCTCCACTGTCCCTAAGGGCAGTGCTCACCCGTTTAGAATGTGGTGTGAGTGGTCTGAGAAGGGCTGATATGCCACTAGACGTCTCTCACCACAGCCTCATGACTTCCTTGGGCTTTTGCCCATATTGGGCACACAGTGCCCCGCAACGCCTGTGAGCCAGGGACTAACATGATCCCCATTTCTCAGATGAGAAGACTGAAGCACAGGGAAGTCAAGTGCTTGTCCGAGGCTTCACGGCTAGCCTGTGTTGGGGACAAATTTTAAATTTCAGGTCTTCCACTCCACAGGGCACTCTTACATTGTCCCCAGTGGATATGTTGCAAAAAAGAATGGAAGCGGCCAAGCTTCAGGTGCAAGCACAGGGAAGTCAAGTGCTTGTCCGAGGCTTCACGGCTAGCCTGTGTTGGGGACAAATTTCAAATTTCAGGTCTTCCACTCCACAGGGCACTCTTACATTGTCCCCAGTGGATATGTTGCAAAAAAGAATGGAAGCGGCCAAGCTTCAGGTGCACTAGTTCTGGTTTCCCTTCCAGCTAGTACTCTGGTAGGAAATGGAGGCAGATCTCTCCTCCCTGGCCTGCCCCTTCCCAACCTAGTAGATAAAGGTCTCTCTGTAAAGTTTTCTAGGCAATGAGATTCCATCCCTTCCCTTTCAGACTCCCATTCTGATTCATGTTAGGAATATCACGCTCAGGAAGTTCTTCCTATTGTCTAACCTCCACACCTCCAGATAGAAGAGCGTGAGGATGTGGAGCAGGTTCTGTTTCAGAGAGGGGTATTCTTGGTCCCTAAAACCAGGATTTAATTCTCTAACCATGACAGTCAGGGCTGGCCAATCACAGGCCTCAGTGGATAGCTTAAATTACAGAGGACCGAGTTAGAAAAAAGAAGAAAAAAAAAAATCCACCCAGCACTGGTACTGCAGCCCATAATTAATTGTCTGCTGTTTGTACGCACTGGGAGGGCTGCCCTGACTCTCGCTGGTCAGGGTGTGCAGTGCGGCCAGGCGAGAAGGCCAAGGAGTTAGTGTCAGGTCAAGAAAATTGCGTGGGGGCCGTCCAGACCCCTGTTGACTTTGCCCCCACCCCCCACCTCTCCACTCCCCTCCGATCAGGCAGGAGCTGCCCTGTGTTACCCACCAGCCCTCCCCAAGCACTTGGGAGGGAGGGGAGAGGGAGTGATTAGCATGGGGCATTGTCCCCGGATAATGGGCCCCAGCTGCCGCATGAAAGAAGACACAAAGCGCCTGGCGGCTCCACTCGCATTATCCCCTCGTTAAATCTCTGTTATTAGATTAGATTCAAAATGTATTGATTTCGAGGCTGGGGGGAGGAGGAGGGGAATCTGGCTCTGTGATGGCGGAACCACACCTCTCCACATGCCCTCCCTCCTCCTCCTCCCAACCAGGCAACTTTTCCTCCTGTTTTCTCTCAAGGAAACCTCCCCTGTGCTCACATCCTGGCCTCTGAGCTCAGCAACTCTGCCCGGACCATCCTGAAAGCCACTGAGTGTCCACTCTTGGGGAGTGCCCTTGAGATCGTGCAGGAGGAAGGGCAGCCTCCCTCCCTCCCGGATGGACGGACGGACTGGAGCAGCAGGCTCTAGGGCTTTGGAGCAGTGCCCGGCAGGAATTTACAGAGGCCCAGAGGGCTGCAGGCTGGGCACTTTCAACACCTTTAATGGAATCTTTTGGGTAGAAATGACAGCTTCAGCAAGCAGGGTGGGTGGGAAAAGATGAGAACTGGGAGGATCTGTAGGTGAATCGAGAAGGCTGCAGGAGAGGAGTGGAGATGAGAGAGAGAGAACTGGCAAGTTCTCAGAAGCACCTGTAAAGACATGAGAGTCTCTGGTTCTCTCCCTGCTCAGAACGGAACGTGAGGTCCTAGGCTGAAGTGGCAGAAGAAGGTGGGGGGGAAGTAGGTTCCTGGAGGAATTACAGGTGGGAGGGGAATTCGGGGTGATCTCGTACCCCAGGTGGAGCAAATGTCTCCTTGGGAGGAGACCAAGACCAGTATTCATGGACAGAAGTTGGTACACTGGGAAATTCTCTGGCCCTTCACCTCAGTTTCCCATCCTTGGGCAGCACAGCCCAGATGCTAGATCGATGAGCTGATTGGATGTGGCCAATGGAGCAGAAGATGCTACATGTAGGGGCTCCTTCTCGAGGTGGTTAATTGGCTGCCTCAATGCTGGGCTCTGTCGCCCCATTGATCGTGGGTGGAGGGTAGGGAGGGGGAGATGGAGAATCAATAGGTTGATTAGTGTTGTACTAGCTCTCCAATTGGCTGCCTCAATGCTGGGCTCTGTCGCCCCATTGATCGTGGGTGGAGGGTAGGGAGGGAGAGATGGAGAATCAATAGGTTGATTAGTGTTGTACTAGCTCTCTGGTTGGGCACTTTGTCGATAGCCACCCACTTACTGACCAGTGGGGCATTGACAGAGCCAGACTGTCCACCTTTCTATCCTCTGGCCTGAGACATGAGAATCACCTAACAGTATGACTGTCCCCAAAAAGCCCAGTGGCACAGGACAGCTTTGGGCTACAAGACCAGGCTCCAACACATGGGTTGAGAGAGGAGAGATGAATACTCCGCAGCATTAGCCCAATCTCTGCTCAGCACAGGACAAAAATTGTGCATGGGAGCCAACCCTGAACCCCACAACCTCCTGCTTTTTGTTGGGAAGCTCTTATCCCCTTGACAAAATAAAAATAAATATAAAATCCCTAACTAATCCCTGATAACTAATATCAAAAGCACACATATCTGGGGTGGAAGTAGCAGGTGAAACCTCACTTCCAATTCACTATAGGAACAATCAGCTAGTTAGACTGCTTTTTTTGTGTGTGCTTTTTGAGACCAGCTGCACCGCGCTCAGCCAGTGAGCGCACGGGCCATCCCTATATAGGATCCGAACCCACAGTGGGAGCGCTGCTACGCTCCCAGCACCACACTCTCCCGAGTGCGCCACGGGCTCGGCCCTAGTTAGACTGTTTTTAATGAGATCTTTCTGCATGCTGGGCAATCTGGGGTGAGAAGAAGCTGAGAGAAGCTAAACCAGATAAGCCCCCTTGCTTAGCCTCTCGGCTTTTTCAGACATGAAGCTCCTGAGGTCCCGTAGTCCTGCCTTCTACCCAGCCTCCAGGACGGCTTATGAACTAGAATTGTAGAATTTGGGATCAGGGGAATGTAGAATTTCAGGTGTCCCATGCTGAATCTCTTATAATTGGCTGGTCTGGAACAAATGGGAAGGCAGTGAAAGTGTAAGAACTCTTTCCTCGAATTCTTTCTCTTTATCTGGGTAGCATTAATCCCCCTTCCTCATGCCTTCCTCTGAGTGACAAGCAGCCCAAGACAGGGAGAGGGACATAGCAGGAATGAGACTGGGAGAGCCAGAGAAAGCCCCATTCATACATTGCTTGCGTGACGACAGGTCACCCTTGGTGGAATCTAGCATTTCTTTTCTCTGAATGCTTGTCAGGTGGATGGAGCAATGCAGTTGGTGTGTTCCTTGGCATGTCTTAAACCCTGATGTCTGGGAGAGGGGCCCAGGATATAAGAAGATCAAAGACCAGCCCCCCAACTCTGTCTTCCTCGTGGTCCTGCTTTCTGGAGGATGTACCAAGGGCTGGCTGCTGAGTGCTCTCAAGGGAGATAGGTATATCCAAGTCTTGGCTTTCTTTGTGTTTTCCAAACCCCAAGCCAATGGGTGCTGACCACGGTGCTGAAGCTGTGGTCTCCATTGCAGGATCCTCTTGCAGGGGGAGAGCTTGCTCCCAGCTCCACTGAGAGACCATGAGCCCAGAATAACGGGACTGCATGGACCCTTCCAGCATCTTTTCAGAGGGTCGCACAATTGAGCTTTCCCCTGCCCCCCTCTCCCTTGCTAAGTGTTCATGGTCCTGACCTTCATACCTTAAATACCCCTCCTATTGTTCCTTCTTCATGACAGCTACCATTTGCCACCTCTCAGTTCCCTGGGACAGGAAACACCAAATAACTGAAACTACAGATAATTCCCAAATCTCATTTCTACCAGTAACTCTATTTCTCTTGTTCCACCCATTCAACCTTTTCTCAAAATGCTGACAAATGGTCAAGAAGAGAGCGTAGGGCTTCATTGCATTTTATTATCTCCACCCAGCCTGACCATCTGTGGGACGTGGCGAAGAGGAGACACTGGGGCTGGAAAAGCCTAGTGTAGAGTTACCAGGCCCCCATAGCAGAGAGTTGGTTTTCCTTAAATCTAAAAACAAGGTTGGGGAAGATGAGCAGAATTCCAAAGTGCCTTATTCAGGGAAGTGTGAATGGGGAAACTGAGGTTTATGCATGGATAAGTGGAGTGAAGTTAGGGAATGCATAGCAGAGAGTTGGTTTTCCTTAAATCTAAAAACAAGGTTGGGGAAGATGAGCAGAATTCCAAAGTGCCTTATTCAAGGAAGTGTGAATGGGGAAACTGAGGTTTATGCATGGATAAGTGGAGTGAAGTTAGGGAATGCTTGGTTTCTCCTGATCTAAGACAGCATGTGTTAAAGCCATAATGTGGAGTTGGGAGTCGGGGGAGGATATAAGGGTCTTGAACACCAAGTTTGGGGAGGGAGGGTTTAGACCCTGGTTTGGGGTTGCTGAGATGAATTGGCATTGGAAACAGGGGATGGGACTGTAGGGGGGAGGATATAAGGGTCTTGAACACCAAGTTTGGGGAGGGAGGTTTTAGACCCTGGTTTGGGGTTGCTGAGATGAATTGGCATTGGAAACAGGGGATGGGACTGTATCTGTATCTCGCAGATACAGAATGTCCCTGGCATCCCTTGGGCTCTGAAGGACCCAAGAGAAATCCTCCATCCCCATCCCAACCAGCCCCACACCCCTCCCCTGCTGGCTCTACTCAAGCATACTGCCAGATGGACCAGAGCATGACCAGGGTGATGCTGTAGGCCAGCACCGCCAGCACGTAGACACGGAAGAGCAGCTTGTCCAGCACGGAGCCCACGTGCAGCCAGTCCCGGGCCACCTCTCGGATCTCATCCCGCTTCTCCAGGAAGTGCCGGATGGAAGAAAGCTCCTGCAGCAGCCCGCGCACGGCCAGCGAGGCCTCCCGCGGCGGTGGGGGAGGGCTGCCTCTGCCCCTCAGGGTCTTCTCCAGGTCCCGGGGTTCTTCCAAATGGCTGCAATGGTTTCCCATGGCTAGAAGAAGGGCAGAGCATTGGCAAGGGAGATGCCCCACGGGATGGCCTGCACATCGTCCGTTATGTTTCTAGAGACTGCAGAAATTTTTATTTGGAACAACTTCAGACATAAAAGATGTAGAGAATAACTTACATATTTGTATACCCACCATCCAACTTAAGCAAATTAAAAGGCCGATACAATTGAGGATACTTGTATACCCGCTCTAAGCCACGTCCTCCACCCCTTCCCCAGGTCACTGCTATCATGAAATCTGTGTTTATCCTTCCCATGCATTTTTTTTAACCTAGGGTCTTTCCCCAGCAGTCAGATATCTGTTATTTCATTTGAGCTTCACAATAACCCTTCAGGAGAGGCAGAGTGGGAGTGATTACTATCCCTATTTTTTATACCAAGGTGCTAAAGCTTGGCAAGTTCTACTCAGAGAGGGTCACTGTCTTCCTCTCTGTAGCTCCAAGTCCTTCCTAACCAGAAAACACCCCTTCAGAGATGGCTCCCTTCACCCAGTGAAATCAGGCATTAGGCTGGTGGACTAGTTCACTAGCTCATGATGAGATGGTCTTAGATGAACCAAAATTCTTTTGTGAACAGCCTGGCCCTAGCCAGGCGGATGGATGAAAAGGAATGGAGTGGACAGGAGCATTTAAAAACACAAGAGTAGAGTCAGATGGGCCTGCATTCAAATCGTGGTTACACCAGCTCCTGGCTGTGATTTAGGTCAAGCTATTTAACTTTTCCATGCCTCTGTTTCCTCATTAGAGAAATGAGAATGCAATCCAATTGGGTTGTCATGAGTATTACACATGATAATGCACAGAAAGTGCTTTGCACATGCCTGGCACAAAGTAAATAAACCAACAAACCAACCCCACCAGCAACAACAACACGTGGCAGCTGTGACAATTCCTCAGGAGGTAGGAGCTCCCATTCAGTGTCTCTTTGAACCCTGTCTCTCTGCCTTATAGATGTTTGCAATTCTAAGGGACCTGGTCTTTGAGCTGTCTAGAGTGAATTTTAGAAATCCTAGCTGCAGCGTTTACCCACATGAGGCGGGGAGGACAATACTACACGAGGGTCTTCCATTCAACCTCCCTCATGGGTCCATGTGAGAGAGAGGCCAACCTCAGCCCACAGGGCTCAGCTCCTGGCACATTCAGCCTCTGGGACTCCTATCCTGTCTGTCCACGCCCAGTCTGATGAAAGCTTTAAAAGTGAAGAAAGGGTTCAGACTGACAACTCTGGCTGAGGTCTGCCCCCTCCCAAAAAGTCTGGGCATGGGGCAGCCTGGGCAGGATGGCACCCAATTCCCACGCCCAGTGCAGGTTCCAGAGACTCTACCACATCCCAGCATCCACATCCCTGTGCAGGACCCTCCCCTTCCCTCTCTCACCTGAACAGTCATCAGTCTTGGTAGATTGGGGGATGGCAGGGGGCCTCTGGGAGGTTGACCACTCTCCTAGGCACAGCAGCTGGGTGGTTCCTGTTCTCTCCAGAACCAGGCGCCGCAGCCAGGCAGGCACGGGCTGCTGCAGGTCCTGCTTATGCACCAGCCGCACGATGAGGATGGTCTCGGCCAAGCTTATCACCAGCAGAGCCATGCATACCACAAAGTAGATACCTGTGCACCGGGGAAGGGGGCAGAGACACACACAGGAGGTGGCAGGGGGCCAGTTCCACCCCAGACTGAGCTCGTCCCCCAGGAGAGGCCTTACCAATGAGGGGAGTGCCAATGGCAGTGGCCGGCAACGTGTCGGACACAATGATCAGGAAGACTGAGTAGCCCAGGAGGAGTGTAATCTTGAAGGAGACCCTCTCACCACTGTCTGGGGGCAGGTAGAAGCCCATGATGTCCATGACCATGAGGAAGATACTGGGCAGCAGCAGGCTGACCACATAGAACAGGGGCCTCCGGCGGATGACAACCTGGGAGCAAGGGAGGAACTTGTGGGCAGACAGCTCTGCTCCCAGGAACCAGCACCCCCAGGCCAGACCCCCTTGCAACTGTGGAGCTTCCAGCTGGGGCTGCTCAGAGAGGGAAATGGACAGAACCCATCTCCTGCCTCTCGATCCAGGCTTGTGGCAGTTTGGGATAAGTAAGGGACATTCAGCTGCATTTCCCCACCTACTCTGCTGAAGTCCCAGGGGACGTGTGGGACCCTGGAGTTGGGAATAGGTCTATGGAAGTTCTTCACTACATGCCTTCTAAAGTCTACCTGGGCATGAAGGTCTAGTACTTCTAGTGGCACTTTACCCACATCTGCTCCCACTCACGGAGAACTTCATTTCTGCGAAACAGTCATTGCTTTCGATACTGAACTCCCGATACTGCGTCAGCACCGCCAGCAGCTCCCACTCGCCCTGGTTCATGAAGACGCTTTTGTCAGACTTCACCTTTTCTGGCAAGCGCCACAGGGTGATGTTGATGTCCTGGACTGAGAGAGAAGAAATCAGGCCAGCTCTGGAATCTAGTGCCCAGCACACACCAGAGTCTGTGGCATTGGGATACAGGGTGGGCGGCAACATGGGAAGCTGACCTCAGAGAACTTGACCTCAGCTCTTCACCTTCAGCCTTAGTTTCCCCAGCTATAAACTGAGACCATGTTACACTTCACACCTGTCTCACAGGGCTGCAGTGAGGGCAAGTGAATGCTTGGGTAAAAACACACAGCGCAGTGCAAAGAACCACACACACCATTCCTCAGAAAGCTCTCTCTGTCTCTGTCCCTGTCTGTGTCTGTCTGTCTGTCTGTCTGTGTCTCTCTCTCTCTCTCACACACACACACGCACACACACTCCTTCCAAACACCTTTCTTGGTTTTCCTGTTAGAATTATCCATTTAGGGGCCGGCCCGTGGCTCACTCGGGAGAGTGCGGTGCTGATACCACCAAGGTCCCGGGTTCGGATCCCATATAGGGATGGCCGGTTCGCTCACTGGCTGAGCGTGGTGCTGACAACACCAAGTCAAGGGTTAAGATCCCCTTACCGGTCATCTTTGAAAAAAAAAAAAAAGAATTATCCATTTAGAAAATGAATAAAAGTCAAGATTCTTCACCTTTGTCTTAATACATAGAACTACCTGTCTCTAAAGGTGAATTAGGAAATAAGAAAAATCCTCACTTATAGAACAGCAGCTCACTTATAGAACAACAGCACTTCTCTGAATCTATACAGGTACATATATGCACCGAGAAGTCCAGGAGAATCCATTAAGACAAAATACTGGAGACGATCTAAATGTCCAACAGTTAGGAAAATGCTTAATAAACCAGGATACATTCCAAATTATTCTATAGCAGTTTAAATGTATGGGAAAGATTTCAATAAGTAAAAAGAATCAAGTAGCAGTACATAAAAGTATATACAATATGATACATTCCTGTAAAATAAAAACTCATTAACCAACTTCCATGTATTTTCCATAGTATGTACATGTGTATATATATGCACGCATGCATGTGTGGATATAAATGCATAGAGAAGAATCTGGAAGAACATACTATGTGATGTTTATACTGATAAAAGTGGTTAACTTTTTGTAGGGAGTTGTTGGTGAAGAGTTTGGGATTGAAGGTAGATGTCAAGGGAGACTTTTGCCTTATCTGTAGTTCAGTTTTTGGTTAAGAAGGCTATGCATTACCATCAAATTTAAGGTTAGTATAATTAATAAATCAGAATAGAAACACGAGGACATTTCTTACAGTAGGGCGGGGTCCACTTCACTGGCGTCTAGTGAGCATCTAGCATTCATCCACCCAGTAAAATGTGCCAAGCACCTTCCTTTGTGCCAGGCACTGTGCTAGGGATCTAATGGTGGGCAAGAAAGCATGTCCCCGCCCTCCCTAAGTTCATATCCAGGAGTGTGATAGAGGTGGGGAGAAGACCAGGGTGCTGTGATATTGGGCAACAGAGAAAGCCTAGTCTGGGGGATGGGAGGGGAAACTGAAGAGCTGATGCTTATGCTGTGATCAGAAGGATGAAAAGAGGGTTGGCCAGGCTAGGTGTGGCTGGGTGGCAGGTACAGGAGAGGCAGGAGGGGCCACGTAGCCTAGGAGAGGAAACAGCATGGGATAAAGGGAAAGAGCAAAGGGCTTTGGGCCTAGAAAGGAAGGCAGCTGGGCTGGGCAGGGCTCAGGGGAGCATGCACCAGACGAGGCTGGAGTGGTGGGCCGTGGGCAGGGCCAGCGCAAGGATTTGGATTGTGTCCCAGGACTGCTGGGAAGCCATTGAGTATTTTAAGTGACACGATTAGATTTGCTTTTAATTAGATCTCACTGGCTGCAGTGAGGAGCATGAACTGGAGGGGGACAAGACCATCAGCAGGAGAACGCAGAAACCTAGGCAGAAGACAAGGGTCGCTGGGTGGGGGGTGAAGACAAGTGGGTGGATCCAAGAGACACTGAGCACCAGATCCTGTTTGTGCCTTACTGAGCATCTTGCAGTCATTCACACTGTCTCCTTACATCCTTATGACAACTGAGAGAGGCAGCAAGGGTGGCACTATTCACCCCATGTGGGGGACGAGGAGACAGAAGCTTGGCAACAGGAAGGAAATAGTGGGAAGTAAGCTGGATGAGGGAGAATTAATGCTCAGGAGTGCTTCTCGCTCAGGTGTCCCTGGGGCCCCCCAGCCTCCGCCCCCACCACCCGAAGCCCACATCTCACTGGTATGCAGCCAGCTGGTGAAGGTCAGCGAGCAGTTCTGCACGTCGAAGGGGAAGTTATAGATGTCGAGGCTGCAGGCAGTCACCACCTGGAGGGGCTTGTAGTTCCGCACCTCACCATCATGACGAACATACACGTACGGGATGTCTGGAGACTTCCCCACGTCCACACTGGCCAGGGAAAAGGGGGCAGTCTGAGGGCTCACAAGGCAGGTCAAGCCCTGGTAGTCTGAGGGTCTCTGAGCAAGCCAGTAGGGACAGAAACCCAGGGAGAGTGCAGGCAGCAGGGCCACCTGGACAGCTGTGTCTGGCCTCAGTCTTTCAACCTTTTATCTTAGGCTTCCTGACTGCCATTGTCAAGGCTACTTTCCAAGCAGTAAATGGCATTTCTCCTTTATCCCCATAGCAACCTAGCCACAAAGGCCACGAGCTGCAGGGTGCTTGCCCGGCTGCCCTCACCCTGTCCCCACCTGGGTTGGGCAGAGCTTGGCTCCCAGAACCCCAGTCCCGTGGTGACTGGTAGGCTTGGTTAGAACAGAACCTTGAGTTCCATGCTGACTCTGGCTTCTCTTTGCTGCCCATCCCTAGAAGCCCTTTAAAGTGAGAATAGTCATCTCTGGAGGAAAAGGAACTAGAGAAATCATGGATAAGAATTGGGGGAAACCAAGAAAGCCCTGCGAGACCTTGTCCTACTCTCTTGGCTGATCCTGAACCCATGGGCTCTCCTGAGTGACCACCGTGGCATGGAGCGAGCTGAGCCAGGGTCCTGAGCCTGCATTCTCCTGTGGGATTAAACTGAGAGATGAGGATTCAAGGCTGTCTACTGCACTGTGGAAACTGGAGATCCAGTCAGAAACTGGGGTTTTGCAAAACTCCTCCAGCCTGAGCCATGCAGGGCGTGGGGCAGCAGAGGCCAAGGTCAACTGCCTTCTTTAGAAAAATATCAGTGGTTCTCCCTGGAGTTCGGCAATGCAGTGGGTAGTGGGTGGAGGGCAAGGACCCCCCACCCCCGCCTGTCACCTTTCCCTTTCTATCCGTCTCCCACAGCCATCTTCCCTGCCCTTGAGTCAGAGGCCCAGCTGGTGAACCCTGAATGAACCTGCAGGATAGGGAGAAGGTGTGTTGGCTGGGGCCAGATGGGACAGTGATTGGCTGCTGGGACCCACATCATATCAGAGGTACATTTGTTAGCTGTCAAGCACATGTGTGACTTGGGAAGTTTGAGCACATCCTTCGAATCTTCCCTGTGACCATGAGCAGTAGCCACCATCGGTGCTCCATTCCTTTCAAATACCTTACTGACACCCTTTAAAACTGCAGCTGTTCCCATTAGGCTATTATAACTCAGTGTGAATTCATTCACTGGCTTCTTTCCCTGTGAAAGGCCCTTGGACTAAGAAGTGCAGAGTTTCAACAGCAGGCACAGAAAAAGGAGTTTTAGAAAAGAAAAGACAAAGTGGAATTGGGGCTGAAGCCCACTTTACCCACAGTCTGCCAGCCTGGGGAGACATCTCCCACGTGACAACAGTGAACTTGTCTCCCAGCCCCGTGGCTTCTCCAGCCCCTAAGCCACCCGGCCACTGAGCATCTGATGACAGTACTCACAACTCATTGATAAGAATGTCTGGGACCCAGATGCTGTCCGTGGGGATGGACAACTTGGTGATGTTGTCGAAGTCCTCAGGGTTCCATTGGAGGAACTCATCAATCCAGAACTAGGGGAGGAGCAGAAATAGCCATAGGCAGCCCCCTCTATCTCAGGTGGGGGTTGTCTGCAACTCACGCAGACCTCACCCTCCGTACCCAGGCAATAGGTGGGCATCTTCTTGGGAAAATCTGGGTGTCGGTAGCACCCCAGTTTCTCAGCAGTAACTGAGAGTCCTCCCACGTCTGCACTCACAGTCACGCTGCATGTGTAACACGCGGACAGATGCAGCCTCTCCCAGGGAAGGCATTCAGTCATGTCTAATGCTATGTGGCCCCTGTCAACCAGCTGCAGGATCTCAAAAAAGTAACTTCTTGGGACTTTGTACATACATAAATGGGGATAATAACTCCCACTTCACAAGGTAGAGATGGTTATTGTTAAGTTTTGATCAATGCATTCTCTAATCTCCTGCCAGAATGGCAGGTCTAAAGTGCAAATTTGATCATGTTACTTTCTTACCTAAAATTCTTCAATAGTGCCCCATTGCCCTTGGGATAAAGTCAAATCTCCACCTATCTTTCTCTAGCCTCAATTTTTCTTTTCTTTTCTTTTTTTTTTTTCCTTTCTGTCTTTTTTACTGACCAGTAACGGGATCGCAACCCTTGGTGTCGCGCCCTTACCGAGGACCGGCAACGGGATCACAATCCTCGGTGTTGCGCCCTCACCGCGCTCAGCCAGTGAGCGGGAACCAGTCTCCACATGGGATCCAAACCCTCGGCGGGAGAGCCTCTGCGCTCCCAAGCGGCGCACTATCCAGTGCGCCACTGGGCCGGCCCTAGCCTCAATTTTTGACCATGACTTTCAGTGAATTCTACACTTTAGCCATACAGAATTAAACACTGTTAAAACCTCCACAACTCTGCAAACCCTGCTCCCTCTCCCATACTGCAATCCCTGTCTTCTTTACAGAAGTTTTTCTCATCCTTCCAAACTTAGTCAAGGCATCTGTCTGCTCCCTTCTCCAGGACAGCTTCTGTGACCCCCACCCCCCAGGCTGGGTTGTATATGGCTCCTCTGTGCCCCTGTGGTTAGCATCTTATCCGTGCCAAGTTGGAGTGGCTGTCTTGTTGCATTTCAATGGTCTGTCCACATGCCTGTTGCTTCCATTAGTCTGTGAGCTCATTGAGGGCAGGGCCTGAGCCTAGTTAGTGTCTCTAATTCCAGTCCCTTAGCATAGTCACTGGTACCTAACAGATGGACATTCCCTCATTGCTGACTGCAAACAGCTGGGACAGGCAAGTGACCCTAGAGGCCTAGAAGTGGGGCCTAGGCCAGATGTCCCAGGGAGGAGAGCTCCTATCCTTGTCTGGGTCACTTCCCTTGAAGCAGGTGTGCTCTGTATTAAGGGATCCCTCTGGGAGGGAAAAGTGGAGTGGTATCTCAGGGTCAGCATTCTGGCTTCTTCCTCCACCCCACCCCTGTCCCATGAGCTGGAGGTGGTGGTAGAATGTGCCCATGAGCAGAGGGGAGGGATTTCACAGAGAGAGACATGCACCAGGCATGTTCCCAGAGCCTCCCTTGGGCTTGCCCTCTGTGCCCGTCCTCGTACTGCTGCCACCTCTCTCCAGCCACTTCTGTTTCCCCTTCTGCCCTGATCTCTTCCCCACAACCCCAGGGGCTGCGAGAGCAGGACGTGCCTGCGGGCAGCAGTCTCCCCTGTTGGCCTCCCCTCCCCCACCAGCCCAAAGGCAGACTCCTGCCAATATATCACCAGGGACATCCACACCCCAGTGCCCAGCACGTGCCCACCACCAGCTGGAAGAGTGGGGAAACGGCCCAGGATATGAGGGCTACGTGAGTGAAACGATCCTGCTTCCATCACCTAGTTTGGTGGTCATCCAATTTGGCTTAGTAGAAGGAAGACCTTTCTAGCAATTAGCTGTTTGAAAGTGAAGTGGCTGTCTTGTGAGTTCCCAGGCACTGGAGGTGTTCCTTCAGCAGAGGTTGGACAAGCGCTTGTTTGGGACGCTATGAAGCACTTCAGAAACCAGAGGGGTTTGGAGGATTTCTCTTCGACTCCCAGTCCTGAGATGAGAGGATCCCAGACTACTGGATCTCACATTAAGTGTCCCTCCGAACCTCTCCCCCCATCTTCCCTCACCAAGGTCTAGGAGATTCCTGGCTTCCCCCAGGGAAGATAAGTCCCCAGCCCAGGAAATGAGGGTGGTCTGCTCACCTGCCGGTACCAGATGTAGGTGGTCAGTACCTGATTCTTCTCATCCTGGGAAAGGAAAGGGAACTCGCCAGGTGGCCCTGTGGGCTGGAGGGCCACCCTGCACACACCACCCCCCAAAGGAGCCGCTTTCTTGTGTCCCTGTTCCCTTGGGAACTAGAGTGAAGAAAAGGGGCAGGGGGGAGTCGACAAGCTGGAGCTTCCAGCCAGCCAGGAAAAGTTGGTCTTTTACTAGGGCACACCTGAAAGGAAATATGATTGTTTCTCTTTCAACTGTAAATGCTGTATATATACACATATGTGTATATATATAAATTATGTATACCTTCTGCTATTATTTTCTATAGATAATAGAAGGTGTATATAAATATACCTTCTACTATATATCGCTATATATTATATATAGTACTGTATATACTAATATAATATATACTATATATAATATAGTATCACATTATGTAATTATATAACATATATTATGTATCATATATCTGCACATAGTCATGTGTCACATAACGACGGGGACACATTCTGAGACATGCATTGTTAGGCAGTTTCATCATTGTGCGAACGTCATGGAGTGCACTTACACAAGCTTAGGTGGGAGAGCCCTCTGCACGCCTAGGCTGTATGCTATAGCCTATGGCTCTGACCACGATCGTATACGAGGTCTGTTGTTGACTGAAACATCGTTATGTGGCACATGACTGTGTGTGTGTGTGTGTGTGCCCTGCCTTTAAAATCAAGAGGTACAAAATCACATGGAGTGAAAAATTCATCACTTTTCCCCCCTCCCCAACCAGCTCGCAGTGTCCCTTCCCGAAGCAGCACGGGAACCAGTTTATCGTGCCTCTTTCCAGCGAGTGCTGTGCCTCTGATCTCTGCAGTTGCCTCTTACTCATCTCCCCACAGTCTCTGACCTCCTGTTCTGGGCAGTGTTCTCCACCCTACCATGGTAATTGATGAAGGAATTGATTAACTAATTGATCTATTGGTTGATTCTTCAACAACCATTTAGTGGCACCTGTCACGGAAGGCACTAATGACCTGCGTAAGGCACTAAGAGCGTGAGATGAGCAGGACAGTCCTAAGCCTGCACAGCTGACGTAGAGGGATGGGTGCTATTGTGCAGTGCGTGAAGAGCCGCATTGCGGGAGGGACCTGCTGGCTGCAGGGGTGTGGGAGAGGCAGCCACACAGGCCAGCCCAGGTTTCTGGTTTGGGTAGCTATGCAGCTACATGAGCCGTGGGGCCAGACCATAGGTACTATGGGTTCTTGAATGCCCACGTTGCTGCCCAAAGGGTGACTTGGTCTCATATGGCCTTTTCCCACCCTCAAAAGGTCCACGTCTCAGCAGGGACAGATGGGCGAGTGCTCACCACGTTGAGGATGGCATAGACAATGACGTCCACGGCCACGGTGGTCGGCTTCCTCCAGTCCCTCACGGGTCGCACACCCTTCCTGTAGTTGGCCAGGAGGTAATCTGACAGCCTCAGCAGAGCGGGCCTGGTGGCATTGCGGGCCTGGAGACGTCCCCTCACCCTGGCTGGGAAGGAGAACAGTTCAAAGTGGACACCAGAGCCCTGAGTTTTTCCCAGTTCTCTTGCGCTGGTTTGTAAGCTATTAGAAGGAAAGTGTCCCCACCAGCCGCATCTCACGAAATTCCCAGATCTTCCCCACAGACTGACATTCCCATCACTAGAGCATTTTGTCTGTGGAGATTCCTGCCAAATTCAAGTAGACTGTCTTATAGGGGTGGCCTATGCACTCATTTACATGAGAGTAGCGATCTGGCTTGTGAGGGCAGGTGACACTTGACAGATGAGGTGCAAGGCAAGCCTTGGGCTGAGGGAAGTGGAAAGCAGGTGCCTGCCCCGAGAGTGGGGACCTCGGGGAGCCAATGAGGAGCTGCCTTCGGTGTGTGATGCTGAGATGCGGAGGGGCGCAAGGAAGCACAGCTCCGAAGCGCCGTGGCCTGCATCAGGGTGTTCCTCAGCCCAGGACAGACCGCAGCATCTGCTCACTGTCTCCTTCCTGACCCAGCCCACGACTCTCAAAGAAAGAAGGGAGGGTGGGTGTCAGTGAACGTTCCCTCTCCCTCCTGCAAAAGCCATCTCCAGAGGACCCCGCCCTCCCTCCACAGGCACACAGCTGCAGGGGCAGGGTTGCTGGATGGGGAGGCTGGAGGGGGTGAGAAGAAGGTCAGGGTAAAGCATGGAAGGTGCGTGGAGAAACCAAATTTCTGTCAGGGCAGGCAGCCTACAGGGACAAAACAGGGATGAGAAAGCCCAATGCCTAGGCCCTAGTCCTATTCTGTGGGAACTTCATGAGCACCTCGATTTTTCCTCTGGGAAATAGTGGGAGCACTTGCTAAAGAGAGGCATGAAATATGAAGGTGACAATGGATGGGCAGGGAAGTGAGTACAACCCAGAGGACCAGGGTACAGGCAGAAGGAGGAGGCAGGACTGGCAAGGCCAGCCAGGTGACAGGGGGCCTGGCTTTCACTAAACCAGACGGCCTCTTCCTGCATCCTGTCCAGCACATGTGCAACCTGTATGCCAGATCAGGCCTGCAGATCCCCCCTCTCGCCCACCTCTCCCTGGTAAATGGTCAGCTTCCCTCAAGGACAGAGAAGAGCAGAGAGAGAGGGAAGCCAAAAGACTGTTTGAGTGTCCCCTTTGGAATAACATCAGTTAGCGCGTTCTTCTATTCAACCCACCAGGGTGGCTATCATGATAACCCATTTTACAGGTAAGGATCCTCAAGGCTCAAAAAGGCGAGTTGTGCCCTGCAAGTGGAGAGACTGAAATTCAAATCCAGATCCCTGTGTGTTTTTACTATGCCAGCAACAGCCCCGATCCTACTGACTGGGACTCTGACCAGCTTGGAGAGAGCCAGACTGATCCCAGCAGGCCTCAGAGCAAAGGACCATTGCTGGGAGGGACAGAGCTTCTTCCCCGTCAAGAAAGCCCCAGACCAGTCATCGCTTGCAGCTTGTGCTTACTTAACCCATGGAGCATCCCCAAATGACAGCTCAAGGGGGAAAATCCTCCTGCCCCTAGTCCTTCACATCTGCACAGACCCGGGACGACCTCCTTCTGATTGTTTCCCAGTGTGCTCCAACCCGACTCAGTAGGGGGAAAAAACCTTCCAATGGGGCATGAACATGGTCTGCAGCAAAAGAAAACAGATCCCTTTGTGATGAATACACACTGTGTTCAAGAGAGTCAGGAAAGGGATAAGGAGAGTCAGGATGGGGTAAGGAGTGTAGAGAGAAGTTTGCTATTGTTGGAGTTTAGTCCTGGAAGGGAACTTTAGGAAACGAAGGCCCAGAGAACCCATGCAACAAAACTAGTGAACTTGAGGAAAAATTACTAGATGAGTCTGGTCTCTGTTCTGCTGCTAACAAGCTGTGTAACCTTAGGTGAATTACTCCCCCTCTCTGGACCATGGCATTCCCACTGATATCAGGAAGGGGTGGACCAAATGAGCTCGAAGGTCCCTTGCAGCTGTCATTCAATGAGTTTAGGGGCAGGGCAAAGAGGAGAGGAGCCCCTCTCGTGGCACCCGCCTGCGTATTTTCGATTCACCAGGCTACTGCTCTGCTCCCTCTCAGCAAGCCCCGCTCTCGCCACAGACTCAACTTTCCAGCTCTCTAGCTTGACCCTGATGCCTCACAATGCTCTCACACTCATATGTGGGAAGATAGCTGACCTTTCTGCAGCTGCTCTGCTCCAAACCCTCCTTCCCCCAGCCCTCGAGGACTGAGGCGTCCCCTGCCCCACCTGCGTGTTCCCGCAGCTCCTTACCTTCTCCCCGTGCCAGCAGCATGGGGAGGAGCAGGGCGAGCAGTGCCTGCCAGACCCCCAGCAGCATGGCGAGCGTCCCACCGTGGGAGTGCCTCTGAACGGCCGCTCAGGGCGAGTCCCCCCCAGGGCCAGCCTGCCGGCCCTCTGCCAACCTCATGACCAGGCCAGCCTGCCTCTCTCAGCCGCTGCCCGCACCTTCTGAGGCTGCAGCTTTGCACTCCCCCAGCTACTAGGGTTGGGAAGCAGCCAAGTCTTCATGCAATCAGTCCTTCAAGTCCTTCAGCCGGATCAGGTTTCGGGGCGGGAGGGAAGGGGAGGGAACCGCTGAGGGGAACCCGCCCGGCTGATGTTATGTCATGAGAAAGGAGCTCGGTCCACCCACTCAACCAGGTGGCTTGGCCATGCTTCCCCAAGGAGTGACTTGGTGACAGGGGCTGCAGGAGCCAGTGGAGCAAGGGTGCAGTCTGTCTGCTGGGAGGTGATCAGTGCTGCTTCAGTTTATGTCTCTTGGCAAGTATGTTTTGGTGGCACTGGTCTGAGGCAGAGTCGGGTGAATCAGGCAGGAGCAGGAGCCATTCTCTCACTCTGCAGGGTGATATGGTTCCCTTAGCCAAGCAGGTGATTGAGCAAACACCTCTGCAGACAGAAGAAGAAAACCTAGTGCCACCCCAGGTCTGTCCTTTTGTCCTCATCTAAATAGTCGTACTTAAAATAATAAAATATAGGGCCGGCCTGGTGGCGCACTGGATAAGTGCGCCGCTTGGAAAGCGCGGTGGCGCTCCCGCCTGAGGGTTCGGATCCCACATACAGACCGGTTCCGCTCACTGGCTGAGCGAGGCGCAGGAGCAGCACCGAGGGTTGCAATCCCGTTTGCCGGTCCCCGGTCCGGTACGGGGGCAACACTGAGGGTTGCGATCCGTTGCCGGACACGGAAAAAGACAAAAAAAAAAAAAAAAAAA